GTAAAATCACTTTGATTCAGCTGGCAATCTTGGAATGTAAGTTGGACATATTCTCACAGCAGATGCACATGTCCTTACTACTTTGAGAATTTAATAGTCATCACAAATACAGGAAAATATTTTTCAAAGGACTTTATCTCTTAGAAGGTTCCCTTGTCTCTGATTTCACCACTAATACTTAGGCTCTAAATATCAATACTACTAAGTAAGTAGTAGTATGCAAAACTGGTCACTCATAAGTATGCGAAACTATGTGCCTTGATTTATCCTATATCCCCTTCAACTTTCCCTAAAAGTTATTTGATTGTCATTTTTCACTGAAAAGAGACAACAGTCCACTGACTGTATGTCTGTGATGTTGAAAGAGCTTCAGAATTCACCAATGAGTCTTACTATGTCCCAGAATGAGAAAGGGGCACAGAGCTCAGGAGATGCACTTGCTCATACAAGGATACAATTGCTTAGAAAGCAGCCTTCCCAGAGCCCTTCCCATGGCTCCCTGCCCCCCACCCCACATGAAAATCTATTATTAACAGCAAAGGTGATGGTTCTGCTGATGACTCATTAAGCATGCTGATTCGTGACAGCATAGGCAAACCTGACTAAGGGAATCGTTCGCTGGATTTAATCAATTATTGGGCTCATCAAATGTGATTACTAAGCCACATAAAAATCCAAGTGAAAGAAGGCATTAGACACTTGGAGGAAAAAATAACTCCTTGTTTTGCCTGGCAACAGATGGGGCCTCTCTATTATGTACATGTGTGATATCCACTTGACTGATTACCTCCACACATTTTTATCCTCCTAATGTCCAGAATATTTTTGAGACATTTGCCCTTTTGAGAGAAAGTCTAAAGAATCAGCAAAACACACGGTTTTAAGATAATTGAAAACATGGAGAAAACCGAGAGTAACAGTTCTCAGCTATCCTAAACTTTAATATGCCCATACTTCCAAGCACCGTGAATAAGAAGCAACACTATAGGCTCTCTTTGTGATCTAGTGAGAGAACAGTATACAATAATGTAATTATCTTCCCAAATAACCCAACTGTTCCCAACGACCTTCAATACTTAGATCTATTATAGCACTTAACCACATTCTAATTATTTTGTTCTTCACGTGTCTTAACTACAAAACCATGTACCTCTTCACAATTCACAGGCAATTTCTTGTACAGTTGACCCTTGAACAACACAAGTTTGAACTGCACACATCCACTTAGACACAGATCTTTTTTTTTAGTTAAATACAGTACAGTACTATAAATGTATTTTCCCTTCTTTATGACTTTCTTAATAACATTTACTTTTCTCTCAGTTTATTGTAAGAATACAGCATATAATATATATAACATACAAAGTATGTGTTAATTGACTGTTATTGGTAAAGCTTGCAGTCAATAGTATAAGTTATTAGTAGTTCAGTTTTGGGGGAGTCAAAACTTATACCGATGTGATTATCAATCTAATTTGATTATCAAAAAGTTATTTGGTCACAGAAATGTCTAGATTCATAAAATGAGTAAATCAGATAAAGTGAGAACCAGAACTTCTTACACTATCTAAAGAGTTAAGATTTGACAATCAAGCAAATAAGCAACCAACCAACCAAGCTAGAATTAATAACTGATCAATCAAAAACCTTTATTCTAATGAAGTTTTCACTATCTGATGTGGCTTAAAACCCCAACTCCTGACCATTCTGACCTGAGTATTTGCACAGTCCAGACATGAAAACTGGACACATGTATGCAGAGGTCCCTGACGTTTGTGGATAAGTCATTATTTGTACCTCTGCCTCTGATTATGCTGACCAATCACAGCATTTCCAGGCACACTAAAATAGAGGTGTGAGTGTGCGTATGTGTGTGGGTGTGTTGGAAACACTTCTAACATAGATTCAGCTTATAACACCATCTCTGATATCAATTCCTTTCTTTAGTGGCAGCCCAGAAGTATTAGAGTATTTCTAGGTATTTGTGATTATTTTGTACATGATCTGGTATTCTTTCTCAAAGATATAAACTTCTCAGAGCCAGACCTGATAACTTGAAGCTACAGCTATATTAAAAAAAAAACCTGATGAGAATTTTAGGGGGAAGCAGTTCTCCTGGGTAATCCTCTCTGTCAAATTACCATGTCACCACTTCAACAAATCTCTTGGAATGACTGGCCTTCGTAGACAAGATTCAGTCACAAGGCAAAAGGATGGCTCCCTTTAATTGTGCTGATTTAAAGCCTAATCCAATAAGGGCTTCTGTGCCGGGAGAAGCTTATCTTCTACTTACTGGTGCCCTTGCTAACCCAGTAAAGAGTTTTTAACATCGTTCTTTTGGTTGAAATTCTGGCCTTGGAAGAAATGAGTACATTTCCCTTAATATAAACAGTGAGATTCAGAAGAAACACTATCATAACACACTCTTGGGCTACTGAGATCTGCCTAGTATTTGATAAAATATTTAAAGAAAGATACCTACCTCAGTTGAGCTGTAGTAGGATGAGGATGACTTTGAAAGCCAGAGGACTTTTTTTTCTTTAACATGGCTTTGAAAGGTGAATAAATACATAAGTGAAATGAAATGAAGGCTAGCACGAGAAGTTTAAACAAAGGTAGATTATTTTTGTATCCTGGGCTTTCTTTCTCCTAATGCCCAAAGCAAACCTATGAGATCTAAAGCTTTTTAATATAACATTTAGTTTTCCTACATGAAGCCACCAGCTTTATCTTTTATTAACTGAAGTTGAATAACTACACTTAGCATTCAAATAACCCATTGAGTCCACACTAGTATGTTTACCCCTAACATGAAAAAGGAATCACAGCTCCCCCCAGTCCAAATTAATCACCAAATAGGCAAGCATATATTCAAACAGACCAGCAACTGACAGAGATCTCAAGACATATTTAAAAGTGTCTACCATTCGTCAAATGAGGTATCCACTTAATCTAAATTTATAGATCCCTGGAAAAGTTATCAAGCAAGATCATTCTGAAAAAGGCGATAGGTTTGGTAAATGAAGAAGGTCTCAACTTCTTTAACACCCTTCCATCAAGAGCTATAGTCTATGTTCCCTTCTCTTGAATCTGAGTGGGTTCTGTAATACCTTCACCAATAAAATACAGCAGAAGTGACACTGCCCCAGTTTCTGCGCCCAGGCTGTAATGAAGAGACCAGCATTTTCCACTTCTTGTGTGTTGGAACACATGGCCTAGGAAGACATTCTTTGTTAAGAATGCAACTACTCTGAGACCACCATGCAGTGAGAAGCCCAAGCTCCATGCTGGAGGATGAAAGTCATGTGCAAAGAGAGAAAGAAACAAAGAGCACCAAGTCTCCCCACATGTGAGTGAAGAGGCAATCTTGGAAGTGGATCCTCCATCTCCAGTAGCCACAGCCCACTCCAGCTGCGTCAGGTTCAAACCACTCAGCCAAGTTCGTCCTGAATTCCTGAACCATAACGCTGTGAGCAGAATAAAATGGTTGTTTCAAGCCGGAAGTTTAGGGATGGTTTGTAATCAATGGGAGATTAGTAGACATGGGTCTATTTTATATGAAATATGTATGTGATTAAAAATAGAAGGGCTCAAACCAACCCTCTATTTATTTGCACTTTACATGACTTCAGTGAAGCTGGTACAAGACAGTTTATTTTTTTTATTACATCGACATAATAAAAAATGTGACAGCATTCACGTAAGATATGCAAAAATATGCTTTCAAAAATAATCGACATAGTAATTTGAAACTTGACAGGTTTGAGCCGCTCTCTTGTAAAACTCCCTCTAACCTGTCTATTTATCTCCTTTTAAATAAAATTGAAGCAACTTTGAAATATTTCATACCCCAGGTTAACTACATGTAAAAATGATAAATTACCTTTTACTACTGAAGACTATTATGTCCTCTAATCTGAGTGATTAATTTACATCCTGTTCAGTGGTTCACATGCAATTACTACATGAACCCGATGAACCTGAACAAGACAGAATTATTTAGCCATCTGTATAAACTCACTATATTTAGAAAAGTATAGCAAGCTCTAGGAAGCCCTAAGGCTTTATTCATCTTCTCTCAATGATGCATGCAACTCTACACTGCATATCAAACTGTAACACCACTACTGTGGATTATTGACTTTATTTGGAAACCACAGGACAGGACTGGACTCTCTGCCATAAGATGATGCTCATTAGAAAAGGTAAGATTAAAGTGGTCATCTGACTGAAAGTACCATTGCTGAAACCAACTGGCAGATTTTAATTGCATTTGTGATTTTTTTTATCTGAATATAATCTGTTTAATGTCATAATACCAAAATCAAATACAATCAATGAAAAGCAGACACTAGCCTTTTAGACTGAACTGTGGACTTCTAATGCTTGGCAAACAAAAGATCTGAGCAACTCTTTTTCTTTGGAATGTGCTTTCCAAACTCTTCTCAATAAAATGAAGTAATGGAGGATGATAAAAGATGATATTCTACTTTAAATTACCTTTTCCATGGCTAAATAAAAAAAAAAAAAAGGACCATTAGTGCTCTTAAAGGAATTTATACCTATGCTTTGAGCTCAACAGCATTTTGTCAGAGAATCAGGCAAATAGGAATTGCAGGCAAAAGAGAATTCAAACACTAAAAGTGTATTTAAAGATGCTTTTGTGTTCCCATCCATAAACCTTCAGCACCCTCCAGTCCAGACTCTCTCGGGTCGAGGTTTTAGTAAAATCACTAGGCAGATCTATAGTTAACAGGCCTTTTCATCCACCAGATCCACTCTCACGGGAAAGTATACACTCACGGTGCCACACTAAACGTCTGCAATCAATTTTTAATTACAGTAGCAGTAGTGATCCAAAGATGAAGCAGGCACCTCACTGAGAAGGAACCAAGAGACTGTTCATTCCACTGAACGTCCACCATGAGCCAGGCTTGCGAAGAGTTGTGCCACAAATGACTCAACCAACCAGCTCCCCTTTCTCAGAAAGACACTCTTACCTCTGGGATGTTTTCTTATATTTCCTCCTGTAGGAAAAGAAGCATAAACGCACATCAGAAAAAAATTTGTGGCAGGCAGTGAGTTAGAAAACATAACTTCAGCAGGGACAGGCATGCAGGGGAGAACTTTGTGGTAGGTTCTTTCTGTGAGGCTCATGGGTTTCAAAGCCCAGCTAAAAGTTTTAGATTATTGTATTGTACTGTGGTCAGATGCATATAACCAGTCTTAACACTTACAAATAGCATCCCAAGAGCTCAATGGCTCTGCCCTCCTATGTTCATTCTTCCCCTTTGAGGGCACTATAGTACCTGGGTTGAGGTCAGGCTTTAAAGACCACAAGACTCAGGTGCAAATCCCAGCCCCTCCATTTATTAGGTTCATGGGGTTGGTGAGGAATAACTGGGCAGGGTCCTGTAAAGCATTTCTTTTGTCTGGCATATATTAAATGGCCAATAACTATTAGCTATTTGTATTGTCACTGTTACTACTATTGCCTCCACCATATAGCACTGAAGTCCCTTTAAGGATGTGCCTTCTACAGTGAAAATGAGTAATCATGTAGCTAAGCCCTAAGGTCAGACATAAGCTCTTCAGAGAAGGAAGAAGGGAGGAAAGGGACAATGAGAAAGTCTAGAAGAAAAAGTGGTGAGAGCAGCAGTAGAAACTTGCTAATGGCTCAGCTGTGGGCTAGTCTCCTAGAAGAAAATTCCCCAGGAGCAGAAGTGGCTGGAGTTCTAGTCCACTTCTGCTATTTAGCCTTGGGCAAATCTACTGGGCTAAGGGCTTCTGAATCTATCAAATGGAGATAACATCTGCCCTGGCTATCTCACTCAGTCATAGTGGCATTCAAGGGGAAAGTGGCCATCAAGTTTATTATCCTAGTATCTTAATGGTTTTTATGTGTGTGTCATTTTTTGCAGACTCGGAAGTCTCTCCAAAGAGTCTGAACAGCCTCTTTTACTGGAGGGGATTCAAGGAAAGAAAGTGCTAGGAGAGGAAAAGGCATCCTTCTGGTAGCATCTCCAGGAAGTGCAATGCTTCCCAGTTGTCCTTAGTTCCACACCTGCGTTCCCATTACAGTCACTGCACCCAGGAAGCCGAGCCACTAACTTGCTCATAGAGCTATATGTCACACATTTTTTAAAAAGGGCACAGATTTTCAAATTCAGAGTCACTATGATCTGTTACATCTCTGTTCAAATGAACATATGCATGGTGGTGGTGGGTGTTAAGTGAAGAAAGCAGAATGCAACATAAAGCCTACAGGGTGATCTTGCCTAATGTACCAAATATTTATCTGAAAGGAAACACCAAAATGATAACCATGATCCCAGGGGGGGTGGATTAATGGATCACTGCTTTTATATTTACTATTTTTACTATTATTTTACACATACATGTAATCACATATATAGATATATACATATAAGACTATATGAATATATAAAGATATTTATATGTTTGGATTATACCATATATAAAGAGAGGAAGCTCAACTAACAGAGTGAGTTAAGGCTTGGGCTTTAGAACAAACTATCTGTGTTCCAGTCTTGGCTCTGGGACTTAGCTCTATAGTATGAGACCAGTTATTCAACCCCTCTGAGCCTCGGTTTCTTCATCCATAAAGTGGGAATAATCAGAGAACCTCTCTCAAAACCTTATGGTAATCGACAGATGAATGGATAAAGAAGATGTGGTATATATATACAATGGAATATTATGCAGCCATCAAAAGGAATGAGATCTTGCCATTTGCAACGACGTGGATGGAACTGGAGGGTATTATGTTGAGTGAAATAAGTCAAACAGAGAAAGACATGTATCATATGATCTCACTGATATGAGGAATTCTTAATCGCAGGAAACAAACCGAGTGTTGTTGGAGTGGGGGGTGGGGTGGGAGGGATGGGGTGACTGGGTGATAGACACTGGGGAGGGTATGTGCTCTGGTAAGCGCTGTGAATTGTGCAAGACTGTTGAATCTCAGATCTGTACCTCTGAAACAAATAATGCAATATATGTTAAGAAAAAAAAGAGAAGAAGAAGAAGGTAACGGGAGGGGAAGAATGAAGCGGGGGAAATCGGAGGGGTGGATGAACCATGAGAGACGATGGACTCTGAAAAACAAACTGAGGGTTCTAGAGGGGAGGGGGGTGGGAGGATGGGTTAGCCTGGTGGTGGGTATTGAGGAGGGCACATTCTGCATGGAGCACTGGGTGTTATGCACAAACAATGAATCATGGAACACTTCATCTAGAACTAATGATGTAATGTATGGGGATTAACATAAGAATAAAAAAAATAAATATAGAAATGTGTAAAAAAAAAAAAAAAAAACCTTATGGTAAGAAATAAATGAGTAACCCACACGAATGTCAGTTCCACAAAGGCAGATTCTTAGTATGGTTCCCCACGGTAACCTAGTGCCTAAGACAGTGCCTCGTGCCCCCTCTAAAAGCTGTGCCTGGACCCCATCAGCAGGAACAGATCACTCTTCAGGCAGTAGCCAGGGGCAGAGGTTTCATCTACAGGCACAGAGCACAGTGAGTTATGGGTGTGGCCTGTGCCCTTGGCCCTTGTTAGGGCTGCTGTCTACTAAACTGGGCTAAGGAGTCTCTTAAGGCAAGATCAAAAAATAACACATTGGGAGTGTACAAAGACCAAAAAGAAGGGGGCAGGCACGCCAGATGGATGCCCCTGGCTTCGAACCAGAAGCCCAAATAATTCTATCAGCAGAGCATATCTTCAAAGGTCAGAAGAAGACAACCTTTGTCATTGGCTTCCACAGACTTCCCCCGCATTTGCCAAGAACCATACAAAACCACTGCTGGGAGCACTGAGATCATCAAAGATGGACAAAAATAAGAAGAGCTTCCATTTTCAGCACCTACTAACAAGCATTTCACATATATCGGTAATCCTCATAATACCATTGTTAAAATTCACTCTCTGAAAGAATCTGAATTCTAAAAATGGAAGTTAAAATATGTACCTAAAAGGTGTTATTTTATGATAACAACAAATATAAGGGGGGTGGCTCAGAAAGTTTTGTGAAAGAGGTAGTCCTGACTGATGGCTGGGATTTCAGAAGGAGAAATGCGTAAGTATGGGGCAAGCAGGTAAGGAGGGCATGTCCAGTGGCCTCAAACCAGCCCAGCCCAGCCAGATATGGAAGGAGATATAGCAGGCAATAAGGCTAAAAAGTGCTGAGGACAAAGTTAAGAAAAGTAATATAATTTATACTTAAAAAAAAAAATGATACCTGGGAGAAAGGGTCACCTCTTGCATTACCTGGTCTCATCGCCGATTATATGGAAAGACAATAGGGCTCTGGGATGTGACAGACCTGCTTCAAAACCCAACTGCCTCCCACCACGCCCAGCTGTGAGACCTCAGGCATGCTCTATGCTAAATCAAGCTTTAGTACCCACATCTGTAAAATAAAAGGAACGATATCAGAGGACACAGTGTTTTGAATTTGCCAGGTACATGCACGTCATGTAGGCATTCTGAAAATTTTAGATCCCTTTACCCCTTATTTTGAGCTTCTTGAGGCCAGTGGTCCTGTCATATGGATCTGTGTATCTACTCCCAGGGCTTGCACATTAAATGGTACATGGGTGGCACACACTATGTCTGTCGGCAAAACAAATGAATCATTTGCAGCAGCCACTCACACCTATCAAAATACTGGCTGTGCATCTGGTAGACCCAAAGAAAGAGAGACCAAAACTCTGATTTTCAGGACAATCCACCTTCTTGACACTCACTCCCCACCTTCCTAGATGCATCCTTGGCTTCATAGTCCTAAAGTTCTCTCTTCCCATCTTGTCCCATTTAGACACAGATAGCTTCAGGACCAAGACACACCCAATCCAAACAATGTCATCTTATACCGGAGCTGAAAGGTCAGCACTTAAAGTACAAGAGAAAATATATTTCTAATATACTTCTACTATACTATACTTCTAATATACTCAAGATCCAACTCACAGATCATTTGGACTGGGCAAGATCAGTGAGGACTGAATGAGCCCTACTTATCCCTCAGCTCTCAGCTGAGATATCACTCCCTCCTGAAAACCTTCTACGGTCTCCCAAACTGGATAGTGGCCCTTTCATATGCCCCAAGGGGGCCAGAGCTCACCCACGTCACTGCACTTGTCACTCCAGATAGTTCCAATCCGTTACACTGATGGCAACGATGGCTTGTCCATTACCTGCTGGTGTTTCTCTCTTTCCTAACACAGTGATTGGCAAATGGCAGCTGATCAATATATTACTGGGGAATGAATGAGTGAATTTATCAAGAAGCTGATCAAAAAATGCTTGCTTTCTACTCATTTCCCTTATGTTTAGCAATGATTTACAATGAACAGTGAGGACGCCTACCACAGCCATAGTTTTCTACACACAGGAGAAATGGCAATGAGAGGAGGCTGGAGGCCTCCCAGTTGTGGAGCATCTCCTCTGTTCCATGCCTGTTACACATATTATAAGTCACTTTGACACCTATGGACCCCGAGAGATCTACCTGACCTTACACTTGCTGGAAGTGAGGCTCAGAGAGGTCAAGTAACGTGCCGAAGGATACAGAACCTGCAACTGGTTGAGAAAGAAAGCAAACTCTGAAGCCTTCAAAGAAAATTAGGCAAAGAAGTCAAAGGATGCCAAGAGGGATCTTAGACACTAGACAAAAACAAACAAAACCAACAGCAATAAAACAAACTGGGTCCTTTCCTTCCAAACGCAGGAAATGAACTGGAAAAGAACGCAGTTTATTTCTGGCCTTTTGTTTTTAAGAACTTCGAAATAATTTATTCCTGATTCATAACCTGAACGACAAAAGGAATGTTTTTAAAATGTTCTGTGTTGGTTTCTCAAACTTACTTCATATTTACAATTTTTTGAAACCTGTAACAGCACATGACAAATCTCAATATTCACATAGCTGGGCTGAGCTGATGTAAAAAGTAGAGAATGACCAGGAACTATTATGCTCTCGGATCTGGCAAAGCTGGCCATG